GGGAGGATGCCCCGCTCAGTCAACGGAACCGAGCGCTCTAGCAACAAAAAAGTGAATTGGTAATGTGGTAACAAGTACAGACATTTATTAATTTATTATTTGCCATGACCTTCATCAGAGGTTGGAGGTACCACTGGAGGGACAGGGCACCCCCCTTGAACATTAGTTTATTGGATATTAGTATACTGGCTCTGCTCTGTAGTCATACTTGCGTTCGAAGTATCCAGGTTGTGGTTTGAAGAATGACAGACCATAGGATGTCTCCTTTGTACCATAGGAGAACTGAAACGTAAGCTTCTCAGCTCGGCCAAACACGTTAGGCAGCTTCAGACCCAGGACCTGGAAGATATACATTATATATGTATTCATGCACAACTTTGCTTAGTAATTGTAGTGGAAAGCTTAGGGATATCCTTTAAGACCTTGGTCCCCAACTCCTGGACTGGGGACAAGGTACCTGTCCGTTGGTCAATTAATACCGGGCCGCACAAAAAGAATACATAACTTAGATTATTTCCGCTTTATTTAGTATCTAATTTGGAACTGTGTTTTATTTTGATAAATTACAAGATGTTCTCCGCCACATCTGTGTATGATTCACTCTTGATGCAGGTCACGCTTTCCTCCATAGACATTCAATTCAGTTTAGTTCAATTCAAAAATACTTTATTGATCCCAAAGGGAAATTAAATTTGTTGTAACTCTATCCTTGTTTCATTAAGAGATGTTATAGATACTGATGGCTGTAGGCAGGAAGGATCACTTGTAAAGGTCTGTCCCATAGTAGATCCGAAGAAAACAACCACAGATGCCGTTTGATCCGTCCACCCAGATTCGGCCGTCTTGGGTCCCCCTCTGCTGCAGGACCGCCCGAATGCCAGGCAGAACTCCTCCCAGAGCAATGGTCACTCCACCAAGCAGCTGCGGATGCTGGGGGACAATCCCAGTCCTTTTGCAGTCATGAAACACGTTTCCTTCCAGTTCCAGGATCTCAGAGGTCAGGCACTCGAGCACAGCCGGCAGGGAGATGGGAATACATCTATGGCACCTTCTTTTCAACTCATTTGAGATTTGGGACTGCAGTTGAGATATTATTTGAACTTTTGAGATGTTAACCAGCTGCTCCCAATTGTTAAAAACACCTTGTTGTTATGGTTACACATCATAACAAATGTCCAAAAGTAAAAAAAGTTTCAGTAACATTTATATAGAGATGAAAATATATGCGTATCTACACTGCCTGGCCAAAAAAAAGTCGCCACCTGAATTTAACTAAGCAAACAAGTACGAGCCTCCTATTGGATAATTACTGCATGGGCAATTATCTTTCAGCTGGCAACAAGTTATTTAACTCCAACTGGTGCAATGAGTTGCTTCTCATTTCTTAAACAACCATGTTGAAAGACACATCGCGTGGTCGTGGAAAAGATGTCAGTCTGTTTGAGAAGGGTCAAATCATTGGCATGCATAAAGCACAGAAAACATCTAAGGAGATTGCAGAAACTACTGAAATTGGGCTAAGAACTGTCCAACACATTATTAAAAACTGGAAGGCTAGAGGGGACCCATCATCTTCGAGGAAGAAATGTGGCTGGAAAAAAATGTGACCTACTGTACAAGCCTGTGGGGGCAGTGCTATGATCTGGGGTTGCTGCAGTTGGTCAGGTCTAGGTTCAGCAACAGTATGTGCTCAAAGAATGAGGTCAGCTGACTACCTGAATATACTGAATGACCAAGTTATTCCATCAATGGATTTTTTTTTCCCCTGATAGCACGGGCATATACCAAGTAGGGCTGGGCGATGTATCAAATGTACGTGATGTATCTAGAGTTTTTCAATTTACGATGGTTAAAATGGCTCTATCGCAACCATCGAGTATAAATTGCCATTCAAATAATAAGCTTTCCACATCTAATTCACTGTGAGTTTTGTTTATCCGACACACAACAAATGCATCACTACTCCCTGCCCCCTCCCAACCTGAAAATGTTCCGCATGACACGTTGTGCGGAGCATGCGCATATAGATTTGGATAGAGAGCAGCCTGTTACTTTCACCGAAGGACTGTCCACCTCCGTGGATGCGTTGTGTTCACCTGGAGGAGACGCTCCGGTGCTTTGAAGCGCCGCCGGACCGGGCCGCCAGACTGGGCCGCCGGACCGGAGCAGAACCGCGCCGCCGGACTGGGCCGCCGGACCGGAGCAGAACTGGGCCAGGGTTATCTTCAGCCTTTTCGTCTCTCGTGCTTGGAGCGCCGGAGCCGAACTGGAGCAGAACCGAACCGGACCAGTTGCTGACTTCAGCCTCAGCCTCTCCGGTCAGTCTCGTTTTTTCACCGGGGGTGCCCCGTGCTGTCGGGTGCTGAGAAGCGGAGGAGCAGAGTAAAGGAGCGGGTCTGCGTGGTGCTCGAGAGAAGTTCGGAGTTTGTATCGGAGTTGCTCAGGCCTCCATCCAAACCCACCTGGATAATAATTTATTTTATTTTATTCCGGATCATGTTGTTGGCCCCTGTTGATCTGAAACAAGCTTGGATCATGCCTTTCACTTCAGGAGGATTTTCTGGCAGCTCGCTCTGCTATTTGCTGCGAATTATTTGTTTCTGTTTCGGCCTGTTGATTCTGGACCCAGCATCTGTTTCCAATGGGAGCATCCATCCATCCATCCATCCTTCTTCACTGGGGGGCCGGAGCCCCCCTCAGCCCAACTCAAACTGCAGTTGGGCCAACTCGTCGGGTTTGTTTGCCCATTTAAACTGTGTTGTTTTATGGTCTGAAACTTTTCTGCATCATTCATATTACTGTCACTATTTTCAGTTCTCAGATTATCTGGAGTCACTGAATCTTGTTAATACACCTGAATCTGTCCATCACTGCAACTTTCACTGTTTTTGGGTTCTGAATGATCGCGTCTTCAATAATTTTTCTCATGGTTCGATTATGGGGGCTAATTGTCACACTATTAATTCCTGTAATTACACATCAGTCACAAAAAACTCAAGAAAATGTCTGATAATAATGTTGTTACTGCTCTCAGGGATTCAGCCCAACCCTGGACCCCCCACTAATTACAGCACATCAAATGACTTTAAAAACGCCTCTGGGCTCCATTTTCTGCATGTAAATGCTCGTAGCCTTCTGAAAAAACTTGATGCTTTGAAAATTCTGGTCAGTTCTTCTGGGGCAGATGTTATCTTTATTTCTGAATCCTGGCTCAACAAATCTGTAATGAATAATGACGTGGCAATCAATGGATTTAACATCTACCGCTGTGATCGTCAAAAAAGGGGGGGTGGAGTCATTATTTACATTAGAGATTCTCTGGTTTCTAGTCTTGTGACTTCCAAAACAATTCCAAACCAGTTTGAAGCCTTATCTGTAAACATCACCTTGAATGACCTTGACCTCTCTAAGTGTCTTCAAGAATCTGTTGGACACCTGGCAGGGACCAATGCTGACATGTTCCTGTTTTTATTTTTCTACATTTGTCTTGGAATCTAGCTGTTTTTTGTTTTGTTACCTTTTCCTTTTAGCCATCCTATTTGTAAAAAAAAAACAAACAAAAAAAAAAAACTGTAGTATGCTTTTTTATAACTGTTTTGTTGTTGCTGTTGTCCATTGTTGTCATCTTTCTTTGTTGAAATCAGGTCTCTCTTGTAAATGAGTCCTCGAGGCTCAATGGGATTTACCTGTATAAATAAAGGTTGATTGATAGAGGAAAAAATATGGCGACAACGGGAAATTCAGGTGAGCGGGTGAATGAGACGATAACTGAAGAGTCCGATGAACTAGTTCCGAAGAGAAACAGCACTGGATCAATAATCTGGCAGTGGTTTGGATTTTACAAGGAGGATGTCGAATAAAATGCGGTAATTTGCAAAACGTGTCGTAAAACCATTGCCACGAAAGGAAGCAGTACCACAAATTTATATCACCACCTAAGAAGTCATCCACTGCAAAATGAAGAATGTTGTAAACTCCATATGTCCACGTCTCCCCACACAACAAAGAAAACGTTAAATAATACAGCTGTGAAGCAGATGACACTATCTTCTTCGTTTGACAGAAAATGTACAAAGTGGAGAGAAATCACTGATGCAGTAACAAACTATATTGCCAAAGACATGGCTCCTGTCAGTGTTGTGGAAAAGCCTGGATTCAAAAATCTTATTAAGACTCTTGATGCAAAATACGACTTGCCAGGTCGCAAGTTCTTTGCAGAAAAAGCGCTGCCAGAGTTGTACGTTTCAGTAAAGAGAAAACGTAGGCCAGCAGCTAACAAACGTGACCTTCTTCTCAAAATTTCCAGCATATGCAAATTGATTAGAGAAGCTCTGATATCTGCGGCTGTTCTGGGTGAGTTGATTATATGGTCACTATTTAAACTTTTATTTTTGAAATCTGGACTCATCAGGTTTTTTGATTTTACAATTTTTATGCAAAAAGCACTAACGAGCACCATTTTTTTCAGACAGCTGGTTTGTTTTTCATTGTGGAGTTGTGCTTGGTGTACTTTTTTTGCTGCTAAGGTCTTGTTTATTAAAGGTATAGTGTTGACCACAGTAAGAGATGGTGGTACTAATTTCATTACTGAAGAAGATGATTTGTGCAACTGATGGTTACAATAAAACATTTAAAACTTGTTCTGATTTTGTATTCAATTAAAAAAACAAAACATCAATGGTCTGTTTGAATAGAGTACACCAGTGCAATTTTAAATACTAGTTTAAAGTAACACTGGAGATTATTTATAAATATCGTGATATATATCGTGTATCGTGATATAGCAAAAATAATATTGGGATATTAGATTTTCCTCATATCGCCCAGCCTTAATACCAAGATGACAATGCCAGGATTCATCGGGCTTGAATTGTGAAAGAGTGGGTCTGGGAGCATGAGGCATCATTTTCACACATGGACTGGCCACCAGAGTCCAGACCTTAACTCCATTGAGAATCTTTGGGATGTGTTGGAGAAGGCTTTGCGCAGTGGTCAGAATCTGCCATCGTCAGTGCAAAATCTTGGTGATAAATGAATGCAACACTGGATGGAAATAGATCTTGTGACATTGCAGAAGATTATCAAAAACAATGCCACAGCAAATGCATGCTGTAATTAAAGCTAAAGGCGGTTCAACCGTCCAACTTTTTTTTTGGCCAGGCAGTGTACGTAGATGCCTCATTGAGTTGGCTAGCCTGATGCAGCGGTACATCAGAGCGTTCGCCATACTGAATGTAGCAGATCTGTCGGTTAACAAAAACAAGGAAATGGACTGAACTTCATAAAGCACTGTTCTACAAAGTGTTTTAAGTTGATGCCTGTCATTCACACATTGTAATATATTTGGAAAAGAACCAGACATCAAAGACAACATTTGTAACTTTTAACGCGATTATTAAAAATGTTTACTCCTTAAATGTTTAGGTTATAGGTAAGTACTAAACCAACATACGTATTCTTTTGAATGTTTACAACTAACGTGTGTAACACTTTTACTGTGGTGATATAGAAACATTCAGATTTAACATTTAATCTGTGTTCATAATAATCAAACCTTGAAGAGCACTAATGTGCCACATTCAATACGGCGGCAATGTCGACATACGATTCAGTGCTCAATGAGGCGTTTACATATTATGTCTATGCTTCCCTCAGTTGCTTGCTATTGATTTAGCATTATGGTGAGTTGTATTTTTCATGCACTTTTTATTTGTTTTTGTGATGTATCTTATGTTGAAGGCATGTTTAACCTTTACCATTATGACCAGAGAGTGTAAATACCAGTTTTTATGCTGGTCATGTAATTTTATTTTGTTGTATTTATCTGCCACACCTTAAAGGATGGTCCGTGAAAATATTGTCTGACATTTAAACCCGTCCATGGCACAAAAAAAGGTTGGGGGCAGCTGTGGCTGAGTGGTTAGAGCAGTCGTCCTCCAATGTGAGAGTTGGGGTTTCGAATCCACCAGCAGTCACATGATGAAGTGTCCCTGGGCAAGACACTGAACCCCTCATAGCCTCTGATGTGTGTCCTATCAGTGTATGAATGTGATCTAAAGCTCTGATTAGTCTCATTAGAATGATTTGTTCAATTAGCTTTGTAGAGATCTAGTAGAGTGCTGTATGAATGGGTAAATGAGGACACAGATTGTAGTGTAAAGCGCTTTGCGTATCTTGAAATAAGATAGAAAGGTGCTACATAAGTACAGTCCATTTACCATTCTCTAAGGAACTTGATGGCAGTTGTTTATTCTCACCATGCTTCCTTCATTGTTTCCAACCATAGTGTTGTAACTTCCTGTCAGCCTTTTGATCTCTGTCACTTCAAAAGTGACATCCAGACCATTGGGTAGGGCATCTGCACCTGAGGAGGGGGAACACATGAAAAAAGAAAAATGATTCTTCTTCTTTCGGCTTTTCCCTCTTCAGGGTTCACCACATCGAGCCATCCTCCTCCATCTCACTCTGTCCTCTGCATCCCCTGTCCTCCCTCCAACTACCTCCATGTCCTCTCCAACTGCATTCATATATCTCCTCTTTGGCCTTCCTCTTTGTCTTTTTCCTGGCAGCTGCATTTCAAACATCCTTCTTCCAGTATACCCACTGTCCCTCCTCTGGACATGTCCAAACCATATCAGTGTGTCCTCTCTAACTTTATCTCCCAGTTGTTCAACATGTGCTGTACCTCTGATGATCTCATCCCTAATCTTATCCATCCTTGTCATTCCTAAGGAGAATCTCAACTTCTTCATTTCTGCCACTTCCAGTTTTGTCTCCTGTCTTTTTGCCCATGTCTCTGTCTCCAGACCATACAACATAGCTGGTCTCACCACTGTCTTGTAAACTTTTCCTTTGACCTTTGCTGACACCCTTTTGTCACAAATCACTTCTGAAACTTTTCTCCATCCTGCCTGGACTCTCTTCTTCACCTCTTTACCACACTCCCCATTTTCCTGGACAGTGGATCCCAAGTCCTTGAAGTCCTGCACCTTTGTGACCTCTGATCCTTGTAGCCTCACTGTTCCACCTCCTCCCTCTCATTCACACACATGGACTCTGTCTTACTACGGCTGACTTTCTTTCCTTTTCTTTCAAGTGCATACCTCCACCTCTCCAAGTTCTATTCCACCTATTCCCTGTTCTCACCACAGATCACAATATCATCTGAACAAACATCATAGTCCATGGGGATTCCTGCCTGACCTCTTCTGTTAGTCAATCCATCACCAGAGCAAACAAGAAGGGGCTCAGAGCCGACCATTGATGCACTCCCACCTCCACCTTGAAGCTATCTGTCACTCCTACGGCACATCTCACCATTGTTCTGCTGTCCTCATACATGTCAGAGAGTCAGAGTCAGAGTTTCTTCATTTGTCATTTGCACCACATGTGGTACATGTGGTGGAACAAAATTATGTACACAGGGTCCCAGTTACATCCAACAATAAATTGTAAAAGAAAAACAATAAAATACAATCAAAGATATGAATTAAGAAAAACATTAACTAATGTCCTGTACCAGTCTAACATACTTCTTTGTCACTCCAGATTTCCTCAATACCACACCTCCTCCCTCGGCACTCTGTCAGATGCTTTTTCTAAATCCACAAAGACACAATGGAGTTCTTTCTGACCCTCTCTGTACTTCTCCATCAGCATCCTCAAAGAAAATATGTCATCTGTGGTGCTCTTTCTTGGCATGAAACCATACTGGGCAGCTGTGGCTGAGTGGTTAGAGCAGTCGTCCTCCAATGCGAGAGTTGGGGGTTCGAATCCACCAGCAGTCACATGCCAAAGTGTCCCTGGGCAAGACACTGAACCCCTCATAGCCTTTGATGTGTGTCCCATCGGTGTTTGAATGTGATAAAGCTCTGATTAGTCTCTTTAGAAATATTTGTTCAATTAGCTTTGTAGAGATCTAGTAGAGTGCTGTGTGGATGGGTAAATGAGGACACAGATTGTAGTGTACAGCACTTTGAGTATCTTGAAATAAGATAGAAAGGCGCTATATAAGTGCAGTCCATTTACCATTTACTGCTGCTCACAAATAGTCCCCTCTCGTCTAAGTCTAGTTTCCACAATTCTATCCCAGATTTTCACTGTGTGACTTACCAACTTAATTCCCTTGCAGTTGCTACAACTCTGTACATCTACCTTGTTCTTAAAAATGTGCACCAGCACACTTCTCCTCCATTCCATAAATATGTATTCACTCTCTATATGCAATTGAAAATTTTGAGTCAAATACCTCACTTCCGCTCTCGTAGACATTTACAAAACCTCCACTGGTATGCCATCAGATCCTACTGCCTTCCCTTTCTATACTCTCCTCAAAGCTTTCTGAACTTCATCCTCACTAATCTTTCCTACTTCCTGGTCCACAGTTTCAAATTGTACAGTTATTTTAGTTATTGAAGTGCTGCTTTGAGCACTGACAGGCAGTTAAGTTTGGAAGGTCTAAGAAAGTTACCTTCAGACGTATCAATGAGAACCTCCACTTCTTTAAAAATTCCCAGGCGAAGAAGCTTCTGTCTGGCAGTGTGAGCCCTCTTCATCACCTAAAAAAGATCTTTGCAATTACTAAACAATGAACTGTCAGCATGCCTTACTTCCAGTATAGTGCGTTTCCACATTTTGACATTAACACTAAGGTCTGCCATGCTGGAAGGATGGAAGCAAAGAAACAAGCACTGAAGCAAGAAACATGCACTGAAACAAGCACTTTGTAAAAAAATAAAATAAAATTATGCCTTTTTATAACTGTCTATTGTTGTCGCTGTTGTCCATTGTTTTCATCATTCTTTGTTGAAATCAGGTCTCTCTTGTAAATGAGTCCTCGGGGCTCAATGGGATTTACCTCTCTAAATAAAGGTTGAATAAAGGTTGAAAAAGTCACCTGCTGAACACAGTGGCAGGTCCAGAATCACAAGTTAAGATATAAATGATATCAAATGAGAACTATTAAATTTTAACAGTTAATTTTAGGAAATGTGGTCAATTTGACCTCCAGTAGCCTAAGCCTATGGCAGCATAACAAGCCAACCCTAAATATAGGATTTACCATAAAGGAAAGTCTTCAGTTCAATTCAATTCAATTCAAAAATACTTTATTAATCCCAGAGGGAAATTGTATGTTGTGGTAACTCATCATCCTGGTTTCATTAATGAGTTGTTATAGATGTTGATGGCTGTGGGCAGGAAGGATCTCTTGTAGCGATCTATAATACAACTAATTTGCATGTGTGCTGTCAGGAGAAGCCCTTGGTTAGGGAATTTTTAGATTTATTGGACTCATTTAATCTAACTCAGCATGTAAACGGTCCCACCCAAGAGTACGGACATACACTGGACCTTGTTTTAACTCGTGATGTGACTGTTAGTAATCTTGAAATTGGTGATAATGTTTTTTCAGACCACATGCCAGTCCGGTTTGAGTTCACCCTCCCCCATCCAACTCCTAAGCCGTGCATTCCTGCACGTAGCAGCCAGGCCATTAACCATTTCACTGCTGCACATTTCACAGATGCTTATAACTCTAAAATGATCATTCAGCCCCCGGTGTTTCTCACTACCACGGAGGCGCTGACATCCCAGTTCAACTCTGTCTGCTTAAAGACTCTGGATCATATCGCTCCTGTTAAAACTAGAAGATCAAAACTCAGAGCAGAACCTAGGCTGAGTGACGTCACTAAGGCCGTTAGGCAGCAGTGCAGGAGGGCGGAGCGCAAGTGGAGGAAAGACAGGCTGCAGGTCTCTTTTCAAATGCTTAAAGAGAGTTGGCGCCGTTTTCAGAAAGCAGTAAAAGCTGCTAAATCCAAATACTTTTCTGATATCATAACTAGAGATGCACCGATCCACTTTTTTTTACTTCCAATCCTGATACCTAAGTCTGAATATCGGCCGATACCGATCCAGTTCCGATATCATGATCATCATTTATTTTACATGAGGCTGTAATAATCTCCTCTCAAGTACAATTTGTACAAATATATGCATGCATGTACAAAAAGGCAACTTGAGGTAAGTTGTATTAATGTTGGATACGTTTTAAAGTTAGAATTAAATTCTGCTAATACAAAACATGCTTTTTTTATTCCAAGCTTTAAAGTGGATATTAAAGTGATTAATTTAAGTGATTGTTTAAAGTTATTTTATATTTTTTTAAATAAGGGGCAGATCTAAGAATTTTTTTCTTCTTTTCTGCACTCTTTTCATTCAATGTTTTCTTTTTCATGATTTTTATTTTTATTTTGTTTCTTTTAAATGAATGAATTAAATTAAATAATATGTTAAATGGCTTAAAACACCTGCTTCAAGGCATAAACCAACAGACATGTTCCTGTTTTTAGTATTTTGCATCACTTTATAATGTAGCTGTTTTTGTTTTTAATATATATAATTTTCAAATAATGTTCTTTTTTATGATTGTCTACTGTTGTACTGATAAATATCTCCTGGAGGGTAAACTATTTCTTGGCTGCAAGTATCAAGCTGTGAAATCCTTCGTTTTCTACAATTGATAGTGGTTGGTCATAAATCATGATGAAGTTTAGCAACTTCTCTGTAAACATTTGAGCTCCGTGGTTTCAGCCATGTCTTCTTCTTGTTCAATCCGAAGCAGGCAGCCGCGCAGCCGCGCTCAGTCTGTCACTCCTCAGAGACGGGCAGACTGAGCGGGGCAGATTGGACGCGGCTGGCCGGGGTCGAGTCGCCTGTTTAGGGTTGAGCAAAGAGAAGTGCCCCGCTGAAGCCACGGAGCTCGAATGTCCAACGTAAAACTAACTTTACTGCGGTTTAATGTGGTGCTATGTCTCTGCAGACATTGCACGATGCTGTCTTGTTTTGTGGTGTTTAGTATAAAATACTTCCACACAGCGGACATGTTTAGATGAAAAGTTGGTTAGCTGTTAGCCACAGTGCTGCTAACTCAGTCGTCACGTTGTAGCTGGCTGCAAACTATGAACTGGATTTCCCGAATGTGAGGTGGGTCTTATTACTCTGGGTTCATGAGACACGCCTCCGTTCAGGAAATCCATTCCACAGTTTGAAGCCAACATGCATCATGGATCGGAAATATCGGCAGGTGGATCGGAAAATCCGATACGTAAATTATGCTGGTATCGGAGGCCGATACAGATACTGGATCGGATCGGCCCCATCCCTAATCATAACCTCAAACTCTCACAACCCACGTGTCCTCCTCTACACCCTAAACTCTGTTTTCCACGTCACTGAACCATCACCTTTGCAAACCTCGACTGAGCTGTGCGAGAACTTCTTACATTTCTTTTAGGAAAAAATTGCGACCATCCGGGCTCTCATTTTCCCTCCAACTCATGACCCATCCATCCCACCTCAATCTGTAGCTCTATATGACCATTTTGAACCCATCACTCTATCTTCTCTAGAGCAGGTTATGTGCAGCTTGAAACCGTCTGGTTCTCCCTTTGATGTGGTCCCCCCTCGACTACTAAAGGATGTTTTTCCTACTCTAGGTCTGTCCATTCTTGCTATAGTAAACAGCAGTTTATCCACTGGCGTGGTGCCAAAAACCTTTAAACATGCTGCTGTCCAGCCTCTCCTGAAAAAAACAAACATTGACTCCTCAGTCGTATCCAACTTCCGGCCTGTCTCCAGACTCCCATTTGTTTCTAAAATACTGGAGAAAACAGTTGAGTCCCAGTTGAAGTGCTTCCTGGAGGATCACGCCATCTTAGAGCTATTCCAATCTGGCTTTAAACCTCTCTACAGCACTGAAAATGCCTTATTGAAGGTTTTTAATGACATCTTCAGATCCACAGATACTGGTGAATCTGTGCTGCTTGTCCTGTTGGACCTCACGGCCGCCTTTGACACCATCGATCATGAGATCCTCATTGCTAGGTTGGAGCAGTGGGTGGGCATCACAGGGTCAGCCCTCAATTGGTTCAGATCTTACCTCGCTGACAGATTCTTTTGTGTCTCCATCAAGGATTTTAGTTCTTCAGCGACAGAGCTTAAATGGGGGGTTCCGCAGGGGTCCATCCTGGGTCCCCTCCTATTCTCTCTGTACCAGCTGCCACTTGGTGCTATTTTCCAGAAACACAACATACCATTTCACTTCTACGCTGACAACTGTCAAATTTACTTCCCCCTAAGACACAATGGTACATGCTCTATTCAACCTCTGCTCGACTGCCTGGCTGACATCAGGGATGGATGGCTTTAAACTTAAGTTTCAATGAAAAGAAGTCTGAAGTCATGTTGTTCCCTCCCAACGATACGATCACAAACCACTGCATCGACCTTTCCACTCTATTCCTGTCAGAAAAACAAAGAGTCACTAATCTGGGAGTGATAATGGACCCTTCCCTGAAACTTAACAATCATGTAAACATGATTTTTAAATCATGTTTCTTCCAACTGAGGCGGCTGTCTAAACTGAAGCCCATATTGTCCAAAAATAACCTGGAGACAGTAATACATGCATTCATTACATCTAGGCTTGATTACTGCAATTTTCTCCTGTTTGGTATCAGTCAGACCTCCAGTGCACGACTACAAATGGTCCAGAATGCAGCAGCCCGATTTTTAATAAGTACAGGCAAAAGAGAGCACATTACACCAGTTTTGGCCTCACTGCACTGGCTACCGGTTCACTTTTGAATCCAGTTCAAAATACTCCTGTATGTCTAC